ATTTTATTTTGAAGAAGGTTGAATAAAACTTTTCATTTAAGAAAAAAATTTTTTTTTAATTTGTCAGAGAGAGACACAGAGACAGCACAAGCAGGGGGAGTGGCAGGCACAAGGTGCCTAGTGTGGGATTCCAACCCAGGACCCTGGGATCAAGACCTGAGCCAAAGGCATATGCTTAACCATCTGAGTCACCCATGTATCCCAAAACTTTCCCTTTTTTAATGTTTGATGTCATTTTTCCAAGTAAAATATAATTTTATATATTGGCATGTACAAATTAATTATTTTGGCATATACAAATTAATTATTTTGACTTATGCTTACACCATAATTTTTCCACATTGCTTCTTAGTTCCTATCTCCTCTTGTTTGAAAGAATTTAAGGAAGGGGCACCTGGGTGGCTCATTGGGTTAAAGCCTCTGCCTTTGGCTTAGGTCATGATCCCAGAGTCCCGCATCGAGCCCCGCATCGAGCCCCGCATCGGGCTCTCTGCTCAGCAGGGAACCTGCTTCCCCTTCTCTTTCTGCCTGCCTCTCTGCCTGCTTGTGATCTCTGTCTGTCAAATAAATAAATAAAATCTTTAAAAAAAAAAGAATTCAAGGAAGACAAATTTTCAACACATATAGGAACTTTTCAAGATACATGTATGAGCAAAGTTTTGAAAACTCCAGTGGTTTTCATTGTTTCTCACATGAATATCCAATTTTCATCAAACTAATGACTTTGAATTGCTCATGTCATCAGCTTCTCCCAAAGGTGATCTTGAAGGCACGTTTCGGTCTTTGCAGCAATGATCATTCTAGAAACAAAACTAAAAGCTTTCTGCTGTGTTCATGAATAGGATGAAAGTGCTACCCAAGCATAAATCACGCAGCAATGGGGATGAGACTATGACTTGCATTAGAGCACCGACCATCATCTCCCACTCATCAGAGAAGCAGGACCTACAATATCACATGGCAGAAGCACAAACAGACCCAAAAATGCTCACCAGACAAATCATTTGGGGGTGGGGCAGAGAGTGGATAGTGATGTGTGTTTGTAGGGTACGTTAAAAAAAAGTGCTTCCAGGGGTGTGGAGGTCAATTTCTTTGTCCCCTTTAGCTCACGGGTCCCAAATGACAATGCATCGCCCTGTGCTCCACCTACATACAACCACCTTGTCCTAAAGCATTTGCCTTTGGAAGACCATAAAGTGGTGGTTAGAGCCGATTATGCTTTTCCTTTTTTTTGGCAGGGTGGGAATTCTAGCAAATACACTCATTCATACATAGGCTCAAAGAATGAGCCTTTTCTATCTAGGGAAGACAAGAAAAGAGACACTTTTTAAGCAGAATCCATAGCTTCTTTCAGAGAAGCAATCAAGTCAGCCAGATTTGGCAAAATAAACCTGGTAATCAAAGGAGGAAGTGAAGGCTCTTGCCAGTTATCACCACATTTGTCTTTCTCTTAGGCATTGTAAGGGATAGCCACAATTTTCATGTCAAACTGGCCTCCAAATTAATTTATCCTCCTTTCTTTCTCCAAAGCACACTTTCTCCAAGGCATACTCTCAAGCAGAGTACGCTAATGCCGGCGGGTGCATAAATGTGTTTGTATTTGTGTAGATTTTGAAGTCTGAATATCTCTGGTGGTGGAATATGCTCACTGTTTCTTCTGAAAAGAAATCAGACGAAAGTGAAATGATATTTCTGGGAATCACGCTCTTATTTCACCTACCCATCTGGCTGACTCTCTAATTTTAAAGCCTAATTTTAATAAAAGACATTGAATAGCTCTGCTTTTATGATTTTTTTTTAAGATTTTCTTTATTTATTTGACAGAGATCACAAGTAGGCAGAGAGGCAGGCAGAGAGAGAGAGAGGGAGAGAGGAGGAGGAAGCAGGCTCCCCGCTGAGCAGAGAGCCCGATGTGGGGCTCGATCCCAGGACTCTGGGATCATGACCTGAGCTAAAGGCAGAGGCTTTAACCCACTGAGCCACCCAGGCGCCCCTGCTTTTATGATTTAAATGGACTTTCAAATTTGGATTTAACCATCTGATATAACAAAGTGGGTGGGCTTCAGGCTTCAGAGGAAAAAGAACAAACATACTGAAAGCCGTAATTAAAATTTTCCGTTTGCCTCCAGCCCTCTTAATGCAACCATTGTCAAACCTGAGATATCCAATGCCCAAATTCAAACCTCAAGTGTTGCAAAATGTGGTAGGGGGTGGCAGCTGAAAACATTCCAGAAAAGGCAGCTGAAATGATTTTGGTAGAAACCCAGATCCACTTAATGAGCGCGAACACTCTGATGTATTAAATTCAGAATATAACAGTGGTTAGAGAACATCGGAGAAACAATTTCCTTGAACAGAGGTGATTAAAATAACTTTGTGAAGGTCCCATTCTATAATGCAAATGCTTCAGCTCCTAATGGTCCACCTGGAGGCATCACTGACTGAGGAAGTTATGACAAGGTAAGCCATAAAGAAGTAAGACGGCAAAACTTCAATACGGAACAATTTGTATGTATTTACCAGTTGCTCAAGCGCTCAGCCTTAGAGTCATCTTTGACCCATCTATCACACCCAGGGACAAGATCCAAGTTCTCTGGGGCCTGAAGCATATAGGGTAAAGATCTTAAGAAAACACACACACAAACACAACACATTTTTTTTCTTTGCAAATTTTCCGGAAACATAAGCTAATGAAAATGTCCAGAAGCCTCACAGTAAATTCCCCTCTGTGCACACAACACTCCTGTTGGCTCTGCCTTCAGTGTATGCTAAGAATCCAACCTCTTTTCAATCTCTCCCCTACCATCCTGGACCCAACTATTTTCATTTCTTGCTTGAACTACTAAAATATTCCTGTGTCTTCCCTTGGGCCTTTATAATCTGTTCTTCCCACAGGCAAGCAAATTAGATTGTGTCCTAGGTTGGCTCAAAACCATTCAACCTTTTATTGTAACATATAAGTCCTTATTACTCCTTTCAGGGTTCTGCTCTATCTGGCCACCCTGTGCCTCTTGCACCAAACTTGGTCCTTACTGACCTCTTACCAATCAGGATTTCTTGTTGTTTTAAGAACATGTTAAACATGCCTCCAGGCCTCTGCATTTGTCGTTCCTGATGTCCAGAATACTTTCCCCTGGAATCCATACTTCCTTCTAGTCTATACTTCAATGTCACCTTCGTTCAACATAAAGTAGCAGAATCTACCCCCCACCCCCAATCCTATCCTCCCTGCTTGGGATTTTTCTCTACATGCTTAGCCTCATGTGGCAGTATCTTTGTTTTGTTTTACTCTCCTCTTCCGGACTGTAGGCTCTATGAGGGTAGGGGTTTTACTGTATTCATTGCTGTGAACCATTCTTAGGACAGTGCCTGAAACCTAATAGGCACATAGCTAATGTTTGTGGGAAGAAGAAGAGATTATCTGGCCTGGAAACTAGGTTAATCATGATATCATTGGCAGAGAAAGAAAAATTATTTTCAGGGAGATGGTGGAATGCCTTCATGCCTTCCTGATGTTAAGTCTAAAGTGACAGATTCTTAAATTATCACTACACTCTGTGAATAAATGCCTATTTTTGATGGAGAAGAAAGTAAGCGCTAGGAGTTACCCACCTAGAGCAGGACTTTTTTGTTTTGTTTTGTTTTGATTTAAATTTCAGATCTGGTTTTGCAAAAGTTACCAAACTTACAATGCACTGATTCTCCAATCAAGTTTCATTCTCTTTTACTACGTGTATATTTTATCTTTCTTTCATGTTCCAAATAGGCAAGGAAAATGTCATAGGCTGCAAGGACAAAATAAGTTGTTTCAAAAGGTGTTTTCTCAAACCCTCAACATAAATGGGCTGGTCATTTACTCTGAGTTTTTACTTCTGTGGGTAGTTAGGTAGCAAAATGTCCCTCCCCCTTTCCCTCCCCCCAGCTCAGGTGTCTCTAATCCCACCGTCATTCCCGAGGTTTCTCCAGGAGGGAGTGAGATCCCGGACGGTTTTCAGAGGGCTCCAGTAGAAGCCTTCTTCAGTTCAAAAAAGCAGTTCCTGCGGTTGGCTGTTGGTCAAAACTACACAAGCAGCGAAGGAGAGAGGACTCGGGTGTGCCCCGTCCCCCACTCCGTAGGGATGGTCTTCAGGCTGCAGGTCTTTTGGAAATGGGGGGTCCTGGGGGGGGAACTTTTCCCTCGAGCATAAGGGTCTGCATTTCTCCATCTGGGGAGGAGTGCCGGTGTTTGGGGGGTACAGAATTTCCAAGTTAAGGCTCTCTAAAGAATTTTTCCCAACTGAGCTCCCCTAGGAAACTGACACTTCTGAAGAGCACGTCTCCCTCGCGTCGGGTCTCTATTTACCCGAAAACAGATGAGCCCGCTTTGAAAGCTATAAACGGTGGCCCGGGGAGATCATGTCTGCCCCGGAGTCCGGCTTCCGGCTCTCTCCGTGTCAGTTAAAGCTCTAGGGGGTGAACGCAGTAGTCAACTGCTCATTCATTCAACAAATATTTATTGAGCGCCCGCTGAGTGCCAGACACTGGGGGTGTCCGGGGCCGAGAAGCAACTTAAGCATTTATACTCGTTCCCCCAGAGGCGCGGCACGCAGTGGGCGCGACCCCGCACTCCTCGCCCACCCGCGGTCCGCAGCCCGCCTGGGTGTGCCCGGCGCCTCCAGCGCGGCCCTCCCGATGCCCCCCGGGATCCAACCTCGAGGGTTTAATCCGGGTGAGGAAGACGGTGCGGGGCGGCGGGGGAGAGGAACGCCAAACACTAAATGGAAAAAACCTGAGCCGAAGCGGCTCCCGGGAAGTGCGCGAGGCGGAGCCGGCAGAGCGCAGAGCCCCGGGGCGGGCGGGAGAGGCCGGGCGCCCGCGGGTCGGGGCGCGGAGGCGGCCCCGGCAGGCGGAGGGCGCGGCCGGCGGGAGGGGCCGGGGCGGCGCCGGGAGGGGCGCGCACGGCGGCGCGGCCGCCCGGCCCAGCAGGTGACCGCGGGCCGGGGCCGAGCCGGAGCAAATCCCGTGCGGGCGGCGCTACGGGGAGACGGCTTGCGGGGTCGGCGAAGTTTGCTGGAACATGGCGGAGGAGCCCGGGGCGCGCGGGAGCGCGGCGCGGCGGCGGCCGGGGCCCCAGGAGCTGTAGCCGCCGCAGCCGCAGCCACTGCCGCCGCGGGGAGAGGTCGCCGCCATGGCCCGCTGGATCCCGACCAAGAGGCAGAAGTACGGGGTTGGTGAGTGCTCGCCCTACCCCGCCCGCGCCCGGCTGCCGCGAAGTTCGCGGGACCGGCCCTGGCTTGGGCAAAGTTGGGCGGCGGACGCCGGGCCACTGTGTACCCGCGCTGCCCGATACCGGGTTCGGCTCCCGCTGCCCTCGCAGGCGCAGTCAGGGCTCAGCTACCCCGGCGACAGTTCCCGGTTGGGGACGTCCCTCCCGGTTTGGGGAATCCGAGGGGCTGAACGTGCACTCGGGCTCTGGGACTGGTAATCCGGCTCCCGAACCCAAACCTCCGGCGCTCTGCACGATGGAAACGTCAAAAGACGAGCGCTCGTCTGCTGTTCATTTGGGGCACCGTGCCCGGGTGCTCGCCTTTCTCCTCCCCATCCTTGTGGTTTCATTGAGTAGTTTGTAATTCGGCCGCTGTCGGCCGAATGCGGGTGCCGCTCGGCGACCCAGGGCTTTCTGCCTTCCTTCTTCCTGGGTTCTCTCTGAGGTCCCAAAGTGAGGGTTTGGGGGTGGAATGCCGCCCGCCCCCCTTTCCTCGCAGGGACTGGGACCCTGCTAACAGTTGTAAACTGAATGGGAAACTGAAGTCGTGGGGTGGGGGTGATGGAAGAGACAGGAAGTGTGTGACCAGGCAGCGGGGGGGGGGGGGGGGGGGTGCCCCGGGGGGGGGGGTACTGGTTGTGCAGACACGCTCGTCCCTAACGGACCGTGCATGAAGACAGACATCGTGGGATAACATGAGGATGTTTTGTTAAGAAAACTGTGACAGGTCCTGCCCAGGCACTTGGCATTCCTAACAGCGGTCCTGGAGGTGCCCCCACTACCCGCGGAGGGTTTGCTGTTGTGTTGTTTTGGACCCAAAACACTGGCTCTTCCTGGTTTTGACCCAGGGGAAAAACCGTGGTCCTTGTATTTTTTATCCAGGAGTGAGGTTGCTGAAGTCTCGTGGGAAGACTACCATTAGTTGGTAGATTACAGGGCAAGTAGATTTCCGAGCGGTTCCCTAGAATAAACACAGTTGTGTGTGTTGAGAATTTTATCACTTCCTGTCAGGTTCATTCATTTGGCCCATTTGTAATTTAATCTTTTACTTTCGTCCCTTCCCCGCCCCCATTTCCCCCTCACTGCTTCAGTTAGTAGGGAGTGGTCCCTGGACCTCTTATGTGCTTCTGCGTTTTCTGACCATGAACTCCTTTCAGAGCTACTCTTAAAAGTCCTCTAGTGCTTTTCAACTCTGTAACCAGGAGTCGTTTTAAAAAAACCAACAACCAAACCCTTTCATATTTACTATAGTATTCTTAATTTTGACCCTCTATATATGTATGTAAGTGTATATAATACTATATATTGTATATACATAATTCTTGTTTTCCCTTTATTAAAAAAAAAAACACAAAACAACTTGTTTCCTCTTACATTTTACTTAGAATCTTTGCACTTTCCTGTGGCTCCAACTCAGAAATGAGTAGGTCATTCTTCTGCCCCAGACCACCTTGTCATAATTTGGTCATGAGGCTTCCACATGGCAGGTGCCAGTAAGTAGCCAGTAGTTATGGAGGTGAAATGGTCTAATAAGATAGAGGGAATTAGTTTCTTTATATTTGAGCATACTACTAAATTAAGGCATATTTAGTGATGCCTAATCATTAATTACTACTTACAAAGTTATCAGTTTTAATTTTCACAGGATCCAAAACAATTATGACTTTCATGTAGCCCCCCTCCCACCATATGGGGTTTTTTTGTTTGTTTTAAAGATTTTATTTATTTATTTGACAGAGATCATAAGTAGGCAAAGAGACAGGCAAAGAGTGAGGAGGAAGCAGACTCCCCGCTGAACAGAGAGCCTGATATGGGAGAGCTCTATCCCAGGACTCTGGGATCATGACCTGAGCCGAAGGCAGAGGCTTTAACCCACTGAGCCACCCAGGCGCCCCCCAGTATGGTTTTAATGCCATTGTCACAGGAGCAAGTATGACATTTTCTTTTTAATACACTTTTCCCCCCACTTTTCTGGGATCAGATTACCTGGTTATTTATCATCAGTCAAGAAAGGTATTTGAGTTGCATTTCCAGGGCATAGATGGTAGCAAAATTGCCCGAGGATATAATTTGGCACACTTATTTTACTAGACACAATGGATTCTGATTAATCTTGGCTTGACAAAAGGACCCACTGTTAGGACAGATTAGCCTCAGAGATAAATCACCATTGTTTATTCCTAAAACTCACTGTTGTTCATAACACCTCCCTCCTTGGAAGCCTTCCTTGGCCTACAGGGTAAAGTCTAAATTGAGCCCAGCTTTCAAGGTTATGATAATCTGGTTCAACCTGTCTCAGCCAGCCTTATCTCTCCTGGCTTCTTTCATGAACTCACTAGTGCAGACACTGCCCTTCTTTGCTCTTGGGCGATATTCAATGGAGAGTCTCTCCTTTGGGACTTTGCTCCCTTGTGCCTGTCCCCTGCCCGAAGTACCCTCCCACACCTGCACATTCCCGAATGCGACCTTTTCCTCAGGGCTCAAATCCATTCCCATTGCTTCCCCGGATCGGGTATGAACCAGACCTTCCCAAACCCTTACGCCTCTCCTCACACTATAATCACTACATTGTGCCATCCTTTGTTACTTATCCTTTTATCTTTGGGTTCACTGAATCAGAAGGTTATGGTTATGTATCCCTGTCACAATACCAGGTATAGAGCGTATATTCAGTAACTGCTTATTCTTGGCGTTGAGGTGACATTTTAACTCCCTAGCCTAATTTCTATGATGATTTAATGCAGTTCCTCTCCCCACCCACCCCCCCATTCACCACAATATGAGTTTTATTTTGTTTGGTTAAATGTGTGAAATGAGGCCCTTCAGTCTGTCTTTATCTTTGCAAGTTAAAAAAAAAAAAAAAGAGAGATGTGCTGTTGAGGAAATAAGCATAGAGTAGACAGACTCATTTAAATATAACTAGGAAAATTGGCTTGTTGGACGTTTGGGGGGGATAGTTATCACTTGTGAGCGTCTGGTGGTCGGATTGCGTTTCTGGGTGAAGGAAACCATATGATAGGCATTTTGAAGCATTTTAATGACTCACAGCTACTCTGTGTGAGGGTAGCGCTTTGATCTCCATTTGAATTTTGCTAAGGGAAGCTAGCAGTCTCTACTCTTATATTATCTTGGTGCCACTATTGGCTGCTCCTGACATAGCCTAGATTTTTCTATGGGGACTGAAATGCAATCTGTCTGGGCTTTCTTAGTTCTTAAACATAGCTCTGTTGGCTCAGTCTCTAGCATTTAGAAGGGCCTGAATGACCCACACGTGTTATCTGTGTTATCAAGGGAGAGGACCAATAGATTCGCTTCTTGAAAGTTCTAGTCCATTAGTATCCCAGTGTGAAGTTCTCCGTGCCAGTGCTTGGATACAAGGGCACTTCCCATTGCCATGGAAAGCTGTCTTGTTTTTCTTTATTTTTTTTCTCTCTCTCTTTCTTTCTTGAAATTTTTGTTTGAGAATATGAGGGTGTAATCACTTTTATTTAGATTTAAAGAACGTTAGTGGGGCGCCTGGGTGGCTCAGTGGGTTAAAGCCTCTGCCTTCGGCTCAGGTCATGATCCCAGGGTCCTGGGATCGAGCCCCGCATCGGGCTCTCTGCTTGGCCAGGAGCCTGCTTCCCTTCCTCTCTCTCTGCCTGTCTCTCTGCCTACTTGTGATCTCTGTCTGTCAAATAAATAAAAAAAAAAAAAAAAAAAAAAAAAAAGAACGTTAGTGATATATATCCAGGTTACTCTTCTGATGCTTTGAAACATTTTTGTATAAGTCTGCATCCAAACAAGCAATTCCTATCAATAATAGCCCCGAATTATGTGGATGGTTGATTTTTTTTTGCAGAATAATTAATTATTGCTTATTTGTGATCTATATTGTTATAATGCAATAAAAGGTAGTGTGGGAGGACCTTTGCTTTCACCATTAGCTCTTCATCTGTTTGGTTCTGCTAAACCGCATTAATCTGAAAGCACTTAGCTCAGTAGACTCTCAAATGCTGTGTAAAAATTGAGAGCAGACCCTTGTAGCTTTTTGTTAATGCAGTCAGGTGTGCTGTGGGTTCCTGTTCAGCTCTTGAGGGGAGAGTCTCAGAGGATAACTGGTCTGGGTTCCCTTTAAAGAGGGGAACTTAGAGACTAAAGTCGTAAAGTGAATTACTTAACGCAAGGTAACCTTTTGACTGCATGAACTCCCTTAGTCATCTGGTTAAGCCTGTGGATCACTTTCTTTGAATAATGATTTTAAATGCACAAAGTCAACTATGAAGGGTTGGAAATGAAACCCAGTTGTTTTGAAATACAGCTGTCAAGATATTTTTCAGAATTTGTGGTATTGTAATATATGTACTTATTAAGGCACTAGATAACAAGATTTAGTGGCAGATCTAATACCTACACTACTTTTGAATTAATGATGAGCGTATGTGATTTTTGTAAGATATCTGCAGTAACTGATACGATACGAAAATACCGATGATTTCGGTTTGCTGCAAGTGGGGTATATTGCCTGCAGTCATAATTAAAGTAAATGCTGAGTGTTAGAAAATAGAGATGCATTTTCTTCCCCTTTTCAGATCCATGGGTCTCTGAATTTGAACACAGAATAAAAATCCTTAGCTGAAGATCACACAGCTAATTAGTTATGGAACCAGAATAAGCAACAACAGTAACACTTGTTGGTCATCTGTCTACAGGAGGCATGATGCTGCTATAGATATTCTACAGCTGGAGAAGTCTTTGCCCTGATGTGTTCATGTTCTAATAACATGGAGGCTAAGGATAAGGGGAATAGAGAATTAATATTTACTATGAATTTACTTTGTGACTGTTTTAAACCCTGTAATTCAGTATGTTCCAGGTACATGTGGGGGTTACGGAGATGTTTTTCAGGGGAATTAGAAACTTCTTTGGCAGTAATACTAAGATATTATTGGCCTGTTTCACTTCACCCTCCCATAAGTATACAGT